GGTATACAAATTGATATCCAACATGAAATGTAAAATTACTAGTTGTATTTAATGTTTCTCTTTAAACAAAAAAAAAGCCTTTTGAAACAGTACTTATTCTTTAAAGCATGAACGTTTGACCCCGCTAAAGCGTTTTCACAACTGTTTAATAAATAAATAAACTATTGTTTAAAAAGTGAATATTTAACGCGGTTTTAGTTGGACGTGAAACTTAATCAACATGGTGTGTAAATGCTTTAATTTGTCAAATACATTGCAGTGTATTATGTACCGGGTATATATCAGAACTGAAAAGATTGCTTTCAGATTCAATGATATATGTAAATGCTGTCATTGGTGAAACAGGTTTTCCTCAGCCTAGTATGAGATGGATGAAGGAAACAGAAAATGGAAAATGTGGAAATTACGGTCGATGATAAATATGACATCACCAAACAGTTTAGCAGTCAGCTTCAAATTGATGAGATTTGGTACACATTGCTTGTGACGAATGTTCAGGCTGAAGACTTCACTAAATATTATTGTGTTGGAACTAACAGATACGAAGATGGAGAAACAACTATCATATTGTTTGGTATGTAAAGTTTGTGAATTAGATGAATGAAGTAGCAGTTTAATTTTCATCCGATTTAAATAAATTACACTTACATAAACATATACAAAGATGGGGGAACAAGTATCGGACACTTTAATTAAAAGTTATCAAGATGTATTCAATAATAGTCATAGAAACACTTTATGAATTTAATCGAGGGGCTTACCTGAATGAAGTGTCAATATAAAACTGTTTGACGTTAAGATCGTTGACATGAAACGTTCATTTTTTATTACCGAGAAGATGCTATGATACAATATTACCATTTATCAAGAATTCACGTCTCAACGACGGAAAAATGAAAGTTAAAACGAAGGGCTTATTTATTATACCTTATATGCATTTCGAATATGTGGTCGATTTACTATTCAGATGACTGTAATGTCCTATTAATTATGTTTTGTAGGAAAATATTAAGTGAGCGGATCAATTCAACTAGGAGACATTGTTTTAATCATTCCACTCTCAGTAATAGTTTTATTCTTTTTTCTATCATTTGTGCGAACTTTCATGTAAAAATTTTTTTAAAAAACACAAATTCAATGAAAATCCACGATGTCACAATGCGAATTTTCAATCTTCGTGTTAACACTATCAATTGGCCATATTCCTTTTATACAACTTTTATATGATTTTTTAGACATATTCTTAATGTTTCATCTAATGATCATCATTCCACTTCGGTGCAAGAATATACAGCTATAGTTTCAAGACTGTAAAATATTTCATTTTATTAAACTTAGAAATCAGCCAACAACCGCATGTTCCTGGAATTACTATGTACGTCTTGAAGGAAGATTTTTTAAAAGTTGTAATTAAATTTTTTTTCAAAGGTTTGATCCATGATTGCAGTCAGACCACATATAAAACTGTTAAAGTATTTAAATGTTTGATATATAACTGAAGATTCATTTGTATTCCCAGAAACAATGAATCCTCCGGAGGGATCGATTTGTTTAAATGACACGGTTCTAGGAGAATATACTGTATCAGAAACAAATTCTTCAACAGCAGGTAAATATCTCGTCAGCCACAATTTTTTGCATTCTTTATTTAATTAAAGAAATGGTCGAAAGGAATATGAGATGATTTTAATTTCATCAGGTCTTGCTGAAACAACTACTGGAATTTTGGAGGAGACCACAGATTCAACGACTAAGATTTTGGAGGTGGAAATTAAATCAAATGTAAGTACAGAGGGAAACAGCGATAGAAAAATAACAACAAAAAACTTAGAAAATTGATTTTAAAAAAATGCAAGAATTCCATGTATTCATTTGACACATCCCAACAAAATAACAAAGTAAACTGTAGTTTGCTCAAGTAAAGTCAAATATCAGAGTATTAACTATTCTTTACTAAATAATCAATGTTTTATTACTGTAGGTAAAAGTACCTTCATATTTACTAGTCTGACACATTTGCTGTCTGACTATTCGTTGATTTTAATTTTTCCTTCATGAGCTACATGTGTATTGTTGGTATATCCATAATAAGTTGTATTCAATCTTTAAAGATGTTATAGCAGCCCGCACGTATTCCTAAGAAATCTCTAGTTATATTATATGTTTTCTTTTTCATATTTCTTTTGGTTCATTCTGGGGATTTTTCAGGGGGGAAAATATTCTGTTGCGTTCTATGGTATTGTCGGGGCTTCCGCTTCTTTGACCGTCATTGTAGTATTGGCGTTAGCAGAAAAAAGCGGTTTTTCTATGCACAAGTTCCACAGGTTCTGGTAAGAGTATTGATATTTAAAAAAAAAAAAAGAAGAAATCTTCGTATAGGCATGAATTTCGTTACATTTATATTTAACAGATATTAGGATCAAAACGTACAAACTATGACTTGGATTAGTTCGGAGATCGGAGGGAGCTCGTTCTTCCTGGGAACCATACCTTACGTTTTATACCAAAGTATTTTTCACTCGGCAAGGATTTGAACCGAAACTACCGTCACGTTATATTTATAGCGTTTGCTTGTTAATGACATAAAATAGAAAATGATTTAAGTAAATTAATTAAAAATCGTATCATATTAAAGATACATAACATTTTCTCTCAAATTGTATAAAATTGTTTTATATTTATCTACGGATCACTACACTTAAAGATAAATAACATTATTATACCTCTACTGATTTTTTTCTATATAAAAGTAAGGCAGTAAAATATGAATAATTCCCTAGAAATCTTAGTGAATGGACTAATTTCCTGTGCGTTAGTTAAATGAGCTAATCCCTGCCTCGGAAGCTAATTCCCCGGTTTTTGTAATCCTCTAGATTTTAATTTTGTATCGGTCTAATATGTTAATGGACTAATTCCCCGTGCGTTAGTTTTGAAGCTAATTCCTCACCATTCGTAATCCTCTATTTGTATAGGTATAATAAAATAGTTTTTAAAAAGTATATCATTGATGGAGTTAGCAAGATTCCAGTTCCCCTCGACCAGGACTATTTCCCTCGGCGCGCTGCGCCTTGAGAAATATAGTCCTGGTCTTGGGGAACTGGAATCTTGCTAAATCCCTCAATGATATACATTAACTGTATACTAACAATTTTTTTCTTCGAATTCAAAAATCTCTTCTAAAATAGGTGTCTCTCTTATGTTAGAAGTGATATCTGTCTAGCTAAACCACATAACTTGGTGAAAAATTAAAATATGAAACTTTACAGCTAGCTCAAAAAATTATTTGTAAAGTTTTAGAAATATATATAAAGTTTTCTTACAGCATATTTACTACTAACTTGTTATTTATGTGCAAATTAATTTCAATTGATATCTATAGGTAATGCATTATATTCAAAAAGTAATTATTCAAATTCGAAAATTGTTATGGTTATTTTAAATACTGTGATTATTAAATAAAATATTATATATATAATCCCATAGTTGTGTTTAACTTGTAAAACAAATATTGGAGTCGAACAAAATAAGGTGGGGTAAAATATAAGGAGATAACGTACGGTATTTTTAAGTTCAAAGTCAATTCAAACATAACATAGCAGGAGCAGAGCAAACACGGACCTCCAAAACATCAGAGGTGGGATCAGGAGTGTGCATCCCCTGCCGAATGGCCACACCCGTCGTTTGCTCCTTATCATCATAGTCGGGAAATAACGTGAAAAACCCTCGACAGCTCGGTGTGTAAACTATAAATAGTCAGTTGGCATTTGACTTAATGATCTATTGTACAGTGTATTTGCTGATAAGGTCATGGTACGACCATAAAACATACAATTTGATGATTTTAAACGAGTCTGTTATTATTTTTATTTCATCAACCTGTTTGCCAATAATTAACTCGATTTAGGGATTTCACAAACGTAGAGCATGCTCTTTAATTGCGTATTTAATTAACTGAGAGAGATCAACCCCTTATGAAGATTATAAATTATGTTGCTGTATAAGTAAGGGGAGTTGACGATTAAAAAAAATAAATCGTTATGTTTATCATAAAGCTCTGTTTTAGAATACTCTTAATGTCTTTTTCAAGTAAAATATCCAAATATAAAGCAGATGTGTCCGACACAGTGGTATCTTTTGTTTCTGGGGCTCCTTGGAATATATTGTGTCGACATATGAATATCAAAGTACTGAAAGTACTGAAAAGCGGTTAGCATGCTTTCATCTAATATGTACCGAAAAAGTGCATAAAATGATGATATTTAAGTATGCATATCTTTGTCCAATGTCATCAGAGAAGAAAAACCCAGACATTCTGTTTTTGTAATACTTTACTCAATAGTAAAACCAATAACATTCCAAACTGATGTCACAGATGGATGCAATCTAATTAAAATTAGATGTTCCGAATCCGCTACTGCTTCTCAAACATCTAACAACATCCTTTTTGGGGTCATGTAAGAGTGAATCTCCGATTAGGCAAAGAAAATGGTTCCTCCGAAATCCTGGCAGATGGGTTTCTTGTTTTCATCACCCAACCAAAACACCCGAGGAGTTTTGTAGTAAAAAGATATGCATTGCAAAAGTTGTGTTATGTATGACGTGTGGGGTATCTTGTATAGTTTGTGCTCTTTCGTTTGCATTATTCACGTTTAGATGCCAGACTGCAAAAGATACATGAAATTTATTCCAAAATTACTTTAATTCAACGTACGACAGTATCAATAATGATGATATGTAGCCGTGGAATTAATTTGAGAACTGTTTACCGAGGCTTGAATCTACATGGCCAAAGTGTTTGTGTTTACTTGTACATCAGTGTACATGTATTTATAATTGAAAGGTCGCTCTGATGTGACCCCGAATGGGATGTTAGATGATTCAGAAGCGGTAGCGGATTTGGAACATTTAAATAAATTTTAATAAGATTGAAATGCATGTTTCAAAATTTAAACATGAGATTTCTTCAGTTTGAAAGACAGGAAGTGCATTTTTAAAAATTCTCTCTTGATGGCATCCACCCAGATAGCAAGACTATGTTGGGCCAACATTGGCAAAAGGTTGTATGGTTGGCGTTGGGGAAACAACGTTGGGCCAACGTTGGACCAATGTCACCATGCCAACCTTCTCGACTATGACAGAATTCCTTTGTTGGCCCAACGTTGGCCCGATGTTTGTAATACACCCTCCAAGAAAATGTCTTTTAAAGTTGGTAGTAGTTTGTTGGCCCAACGTTGGCCCGATGTTTGTAATACACCCTTAAAGAAAGTGTCTTTTAAAGTTGGTAGTAGTATGTTGGCCCAACGTTGGCCCGATGTTTGTAATACACCCTTAAAGAAAGTGTCTTTTAAAGTTGGTAGTAGTATGTTGGCCCAACGTTGGCCCGATGTTTGTAATACACCCTTAAAGAAAGTGTCTTTTAAAGTTGGTAGTAGTATGTTGGCCCAACGTTGGCCCGATGTTTGTAATACACCCTTAAAGAAAGTGTCTTCTAAAGTTGGTAGTAGAATGTTGGCCCAACGTTGGCCCGATGTTTCTTATACACCCTTAAAGAAAGTGTCTTTTAAAGTTGGTAGTAGTATGTTGGCCCAACGTTGGCCCGATGTTTGTAATACACCCTTAAAGAAAGTGTCTTAGTATGTTGGCCCAACGTTGGCCCGATGTTTGTAATACACCCTTAAAGAAAGTGTCTTTTAAAGTTGGTAGTAGTATGTTGGCCCAACGTTGGCCCAATGTTTGTTATACACCCATAAAAAGATTGCGTCTTATCAATTTGATAGTAGTATGTTGGCCCGATGTTAGCACGAGTGTTCTTTTGTTTAGGTGTTTCAAAGATTGGATGTTTATATTGGGCCAACGCTGACCCAATTATTGTACTGCCAACTAAAGATGGTGTCAATTTTATATCTATGCTTTTAATTGGGTGACTGTTTTTGTTTAAATCTGATATATTTAACATTTTAAATTTTAACTTAAGTGATCACAGCACCAAAGAGTGTTTTATTTTAGTTTTTGAATTGTGCACATGCATGATTATTTATTAGAAATAAAACCTCTGAAATTATAATTTTTTTCATAAGCGTTGTACATGTTGTATTCATGAGAATTTAGAGAAGTCTGAATAAGTTCTCAGGAAAAGGGTGTGAATGAAGCCCACATATACATAAATCAGAATGACACATCTTTATAATTAGATTGAAACAAAAGTTAGGCGTTCGCTAACACGTGACAAAACTGTGGAGTTAGCTGTCAGATTCAATTGCTCACAGGTGGTGATAATGGAGGGCAAGCAAGAAGAAGTGAAATTTAAATTTGTGGATTATACACTGGCTATATAGCTGCATTTAGAAGCGATGTAAGTATACTTATTCTTATTTATTCAGGTTAACTGTTTTAATTGATTAGGAATTCAATCTTTTCATGTTTTTGCACACAAGCACTGTAAATAAAGGTTAAATAACATCTTTGAAGTTGTTTCTATCTATCTAATTCTTAACTGTCTATTACAGACACGATTGTAACAAAGAAATTCAGTCAGAGACTGCAAGGAAAAGAAATGTGGTGGCGGTAAATAACAATGAAATCGAAGACCATGCATAAAGAATTGTATAAAGTACGAGTCTGTATGACAAAGATCAAGATGAAGAAAACGTGAGGCGACGAAGGGACGGAAAAAGAGCGGGAATACAACAAAAGTACAGTAATAAAGGAAGTGACTCAAGTGAGCCCTGATTAAGAACTTTGAATTGATAAATTTTCAATATTTACCTCCATTGTCAATTCTAAAATTTATTTTGTAAATTATGATTGAATTGATTTCTATAAAATATTATCACAGTGAATCATTAGTAATGTTTTCATTGAACATGTCCATGTATGCATTATGAATGAAGATTGAATTGTGTATAAATTATTTAAACAGTCATAAAAATAGGCTTATGTAAAGAATCATGTAACCAATTGCAAATGTTTCTATGTAATAACTACGTTGGCCCAACAATTTGCCACCTGATA